GGCGTCCCCGGGCTGGGCCTGGGCACTGCAAGGCAACAGGCAGCGGGTTAGAGAGCGTTCCAGGAGAGCACTGCCCACCCCTGAACTGCTGCTGCCGCACGAGGGGGGTTCAAAGGAGCCGACACTCAGGGGATTCTGACACCACATCCATTATTGGGGACTAAGCATAAACTTACTGTTTCATACATGCCAAATTCAGCAGTTTGTGTATGTCACAGCTCTGCAATTCCAACTAAACTATTTGAACTTAAGGCAAGCAAATACACTCATCATTTACACACCAAACCAGGGCAGCAGGCAGTAAAGTTCCATATTCATGTTGCTTTAACTTGGTTGGCCAGGTCACACAGGTTTTAGCAGTTACATACTAATGCTTTATTATCAGTCACAATGTAAGGCCAGCTCTGTTACGTGCAGCTGGAAAATTGGATGCAAGAAACATGTTGGTATTAGTATGGACTCCAGACCTACAATGGCATGAGAGGAGCCTGTGGGCATTGCCTGCATGTGCTCCACAGAATGAGGTGCTCCAAGTGCGGATGCACCAGTGGCACAAAGGGCTCTGTCTGCCTGTGCAGCAGAGCAGCTGGAGCAGCTGGGCCCAGCTCTGCCCTGCAGGGTCCTGGGCAGGGAAGGGGTGTGAGCTGGATGAGATCTAGCCCAGTCCTGGGAGTGCCACATCCTTCCACAGGGCAGCTCCTGGGGCACAGCCCTGTGTGTGTGTGCAGCTCCTGCTCTGGGGTGTGAGCCAAACCCAGGCACACACACAGACACGTGGTCACATCCATGGTCTCTGCCACAATGGGGAATCATTTATTAAACACTGACTGCAATAAACACACAAAGGGTATGTGAAGCTGGAAATCTCCTTTCCAGTGGGTTTCTCCTAGTTGAGTTTCCAGAATCCAATTGGTAACACAGCCATACAAAACTTCCAGCTTTTCTGCCTATGTCACAGTGTAGCAGTTGTGACATTTTTCTCTTAAGAAGTTACCATTAAATGCCTGTTAAAGGGCATTTCTAATACAACTAGAAGGCTACGGATCTGCAGTGTTTCTCCCATTTTAAAGCCTTTTTATCATTTACCTTGAAAAAGATACCTACTTCTCAGAGGTCAGTGATGTGAAGCTCTCCACTTGTCCCCCAGCCAGGATGATACTTTTCTCATTCAATGGATTGACTATTTGATGAAGAAATCGAGTAGCTCCAGACTTCCAGGAGTTGTAGCCAAACAGAAGAACAACACGGAGATCTGGGTTATTCTTCAGACCTACAAACAAAACCAAACACTGATCCTCTCTTCTTTTTAAATCCCAAGCCCTGAAGCCCAACCTTTCTAGTCTCTCCTCAAATAAGAAATCACACCTTTAGTAATGGCTTTCTGTTGCAATTGGGAAGGCAAGACACAAGTTGCCCAGGCAGGAGCTGGGCTGTGTTCCCCACTTGAGAGAGAATTTCTGGAAAGAACTTTGCAAGGCAAAAAACAGACTGCATCTGCTTCCTCCAGCCTTCCACTCCTTTACCACAGCATGTGAGTTTTACCACAGCTCTTCAGTTTTACTTGACAGTCTTTACAGGTAAGAACCAGGCAAATGAGTTATTCAAGAACCATAATACAGTAAATAGCTTTATCTGAAAATTAAATAAATTCCACACTTCGGCAGTTTTCCTATCCCAAGGCAGAACCCCCCAGGTTCCTAGAAGACTCATGAGACTCTTCTGACATTAGTCTTCATAAATTACCTACTCTGCTGAGGACACAATGTGAAGAATATGAACTGTATGCACTGAAATATGCTGTCATCTGCTCTGCCTTCCCTTGCTACAATACCTGACTTGGGGTCTAAATGCAAAGTCATTTTGGGGAAGAAGAGAAGCAGCTCTTCCCCACTCGTTTCTAAATTGCAGTGACAGGAATAATTCCCAGTGGAATATTTTTAACCAATTAGAAGCTGCTTAAAACCTAACAACTCTCTGAACAACTCCACCTGGAACCTAACTGAGGTAATCTGAGACTGATACTCAGGATAACTTAACCTTAATGCTCCACAGATTGGGAGGAACAGAGATGCACAGTTACCAGCTGTGGCCCTACAGAGCCAGGGGGCTCTTGGAGCCAGCACAGAAGCTGCTGGTTCCACACATCACTCCAGACTGGCACCTCAAAGAGCAGCACAATACTTCACAAAAGCCCAAGTGAAGGAGAGAAAAAGGACATACCTGCTTCAGCAAATTTATTTTCATCAAAGACCCTGTTCTTCACATCTTTAGAAAAATGGAAGGTGTGAATTTTCACCCCATCCATTTTGGGAAACAACAGAGCAAACCCAGCTTCACCCTCTTCAATTTCTTGAGGCTGATTGCTGCTTGAACCCATCGGGGTAACTGCAAGGAAACAAAACCAGGCATCTTGTGTTCAGGGACTCTCATACTTTCATCTACACTGTAACAAGAACTGAAACAGGCCGAACAGCTCAGGGGATGTAAAACATGACAACTTATTTCCCTAACAACTTATCTAATTGAAAACTGGTGTGATTTTTTTTTTAGAATCTTTTGGAAAGATGAAACACATAGAAGTCCTGCTGGCTATGGATTGTGCTGAAGTCACTTTGGATAAGGAGACATGGATATATTTGGACATTTCCCCACAGTCACACCAAATATAAAACAGTAGGAAAACAAGCACAGGTCTTCCTACCAACTTCTACAGGCACACAAACATGCTCAGGTTTTTAAGGTGTTATACAAGCATGTGATGACAGTATAAACCAAACTGACACAAATACTGGGAGTGTATTATTGGATTAGTGGTAACAATCAAATACCCTACTTATGCCGTGGGGGTTGAATTTAGGGTAACTATAAAAACCCCAACTTTCTAATGATGAAAAAGGGAAGCATGAGGAAAAGCCTGCCAAGGAAGGCTGTGAATTATCCAGTTACTGCATGTGCCTCCTGCTAGACCACAGCAAACAGTTAGTCACAATATGACTGAAATATATACATATATCCAAGAAACATTCAGTAAGTACATCAGTGCCAGGAAAAGCTGCCTAACCGGTTAAATCAATCCTTTTAATTATGACTGCAACACACAAAGTAAGCTCCACGTGTCAATGAGCAGCAACACTGTGAACTCCTCAGAACTGAAGCCAGTGCTGAACAAGGTGGGAGAAGACACCTCCAAGCTGATCTCTCACAAAACCCATGTTTTGCTCCTACCTACAATCCCTGGGGTGACCAGTCCAAGAACCTGACATCGCTTTGGCAACAACTTTTCAAGTGCAAGTGCTGTTTCTTTACTGTTTCTTTTCCTGGCTGTTAAAATAAGAAAAAGAGACAGGAAAACATCAGAGAGAAGTAAAAGTGTGTTCTGAGCAGAACCCCCGTCCTGTTGAGCCAATGCTGCCCATCAGCGGCCGCCCTGGTAACAGCACACAGGTCTGAGCTGTGTACGAGCACAGGGCTGCCGGCACCAGGGACTCCGTGTCCTCCAGAGAAGGGAAAGGATCCGCGCACATTAACACACACCTACAGGCAACTTCGCATCACAAAGGCAGGACTAGGGGGTCGTGCTTTCTGCAAAAGATTTACTTCCCGCTGAAATTCACCCCAGGCAAATTCCCTTTCACCCCGAGCACTCCTTGGAAACGGCAGCGAGTCAGGGCCAGGTGTTACCTTTCTTCTGCTCGTGACACTCCTCGTGCCCGCTGAAGGTCTCGGCATCGGCGATGTAGAGCACGGTCTGGGGCAGCACGTGCACCTTCTGCAGAGACACGGGACAAGGAGTGCGGGGACGGGGAGGGAGGGAGGGAGAGACAGCGGCGGCACGAACTGAGGAGACACCGCTCCGAGCTCCCGTCAGACAACAGGACACGTCCCGCAGCCTCAGCACTGCCCAGACTGATCTAATGAAGGGGTAGCACGGGCACAGAACCGACCCAAGCCCCACAGGAGCGAGGACAGCTCTGCAGCCTGGCCCCCTGACTGCTCGTTTTAACGCTGTCTAAACTCCCTCCAGTCCTGGCTGCTGGCTTTCGTCAGCGCTGATGCTGGGAACAGTGTGGAGGTGCTGCTGGCCTTTCCAGTCCCCCTTGGTTGAACACTCATCTGTTGGGGTCTCTGTTTAGTGCTTAACAACTTGACAGGAATCTTTCTGTGGTGAAGATCTAGCACTAGTGAACACTGGAAAAGAATCCTGCCAGAGAAATCCTTCAACGTCGCCTGTGTCTCCCACGCTAAAAAGGGTTTATCCCTTAACGAGATCGCCGAGATGAAGAGACGTGTCCTGACCTGGAAACCCGCGGCGTTTCCCTCATGTATTAACTAACACACAGCACCGAACTGTCCAAACCGCTCGCACCTCCGAACGCGCTCCCTGCGCCGGGCGCCTGGGAGGAGCGGGTGGAGCGTTCAGGGGCGGCACGAAGGCGCTGACAGACACAGACAGACCCACACCCCCCTCACGCACACCGCTCCCGCCCCTCACCTCGAGCTCGCGGCCCAGCGCCCGCACCAGCGCGTGGCTGTCGGCGGGGCCCGGCTCCAGCGCCGACACCCAGGCGATGCGCTGCCGCGCCCGCAGCGTCCGCCGGGCGCACTCCCTCCACAGCCGGCACACACTGCAACACAGCACGGACACCCCGCGTCGGCCGCGCCGCCCCCGGCAACCGGGACCGGCCGCCGCCTCGCCCTCCCCCCCCGCGGCCTCGGGCCTTACCAGGCGGCGCGCAGCAGCGCCTTGGTGGGCAGGAAGCCGAGGACGCGCTCCACCACCTCGGCCAGGTTGGCGAGCACGAAGCCGCCCTTGGCCTCCATGGCCCCGCCGCCTCACGGCCCCGCCGCCCCGCGCCACAGACACCGCTTCCGCTCGGCACGGCCGGGCCGCCGCAAGGGCGCCCCCCAGCGGCGCGGAGGACCCGTCCCGCCCTCACACGCCCCACCCCCGTCCCGTCCCCCCCCCCTTCACCCCCCGGGCCCCAGCACGGACACAGCGCTTCGTAAAATGCTTTTTATTTATAAACTTGATGCAAGTTTACAAAGTACTGTACATTGCCAAGGAACTCTGCCAGGAGAAGTGGAACCCACACCGAAGCATGCGCCGAGGGCGGGTCTGTCCCTCACCCCCCGCCCACGGGAAGCGGTGCCAAACCTCGCCCATCGCTTCTTTCGAGCTAAAAACTGGATCTAGAAGCAAATGCACAAGGACCCGCGGGTGCCTGATAGAGAGAAGAGCACAAGTTTGATAGTCAACTAAAAAAAAAACAACAGAACCATAACAAAAACATGCTTCTGCACTTGTGGAAGTGCTTAATCCACGGAACACACCCTTAGCTTGGCCCCAGCGGTGCGAAGGCCTAAAGACTAAAACTACAACCAAAATAGAGTCGATTTCTGTAAGGCAATGAAATTGTGTAAGTTCACAGACCCAGGTTCGTCTCCTAATAAAGAACAAACAGTTCCCATTAGTCTCTCAATAACAAAACCACTGTCATGACTATGGCAACATCTCTTATGCCTCTGAAGCGGATGACATGTTCTTGTACTTTATTGTAGCTTTTATATAAAAATTTTTCATTCAAGGACTTTCATCTCGATTTGTGCCAATTACTTTATAAGTTCATTAGTTTACAAATGATTGCAACAACCCGTTAATAAAATGGAACACCTAGAAAGGTTTTTAGTATTTTAAATAACTTCAAGCTTCATACTGCGGCTCTTCTTGTTAAGGAGGTTGAGCCAACAAGTAGCAGGAACAGCCCAGCAAGTTCTGATGCCCCAGTGGAAGTGACTAGTTACAAGGTTTTATTGGCACAGCCTTGCTCTGCATAAAAACAAAAAAAAAAAAAAAAAAAGGGAAAAACCCCCAAACCTAAACAAAAAATTAACATAATCTAAACAAAGAGCATCTTTTCCAATAAACAGTTCATATTCTCATACAGCCATGAAAAATGTTTAATGACTTAACATACATGTGTTTTTCCTATATCATTAATTTGGAAATACTACAAACGCTGTCATTTTAGACCAGAAAAAACTACTGTGATTTGCAAGACCTGACATTTCCTAAAACAGTATTAAACAATGTATTAAACTTCTTGGCTTTAAATGAAACAATACAACGCAAGTCTCTGCAGTCTGCATTTTGCAAAAGGTAAGAAATACACAAAAGTGTGTGAACAACTCACTCCTACTGAATGATCTTTAGTAAGTCGGTAGCCTGCTGTAGGGAGAGCTTATGCTTTCAAATAAAAAAAACAAGGAGAAGGGAGGGCATGGCCCAAATATGCTTAATCCATAAGAACAAATGTGGTAAAGGCCCAAACTGCTCAGTCCAGATACCTACGGAGAGCGGAATGGTAAGGCTGTAACTTATACTGCACGTGTCAGTTGACAGATTATCCACTAACTTATCTAATAGCTAAAGTCCTCAGTACAGCTGTTATAGGGGCACTCATAGCTTGAGTCTGTGTGTTGGAAAACATAAAAAAGAGCTTGTTTTATTGACATTGGTCCAGGTAGACAATAGTCCTCAGCGTTAGCCATCTTCTTTTGGAGGAGTGTACCAGCCTGTGGAGAACAGAGACACGTTAGGGACTGACACTGCTGGTCCAGACCATCTTACCCTCCCATCTGTGGGAGAAGGAAGCCTAACCTGGCTCCTCCCTTCCCTCTTAACGTAGGCCAGCTCAGTGAGACCCAGTTCCCTTAAATGCTACTGGTCAGCAGTGGGACATGAAGCATGTGTAAAGGATCAGACCCAGTCCTTGAGAGTGCAAATTAAATATATCCAAGTTTGGGGGGTTTTGTGGCAGCAGCTATCCCGAGTTGGACAAACTGGACACCGACAAAGGAAACTGCTGAAGGAGGAACACTGCTGACAAAACTTAGTGGAACAGAGGTAAACCTCCCAAGCCTTCAAGCCACTTAATGCACAGACACACAAACACAACTACACTGGGACACTTATATAAATCCCATTTTGTGTACTGTGGAGTTAGGCATGCACAAGCAGTTGAACAGTTTATCCTTTTTCTGCAAATCTTCCTGGAGGAATAAGCTCTGAAATGTCAGTTGAGTAACTGGTCTCCTGACACAATTTGGAATGTTTAGCAGCTGAATCATACCTGATCAAGAGTGCACAGCTTCTTCCAGCCACCTCCACAGCTCCAATCTTAACTCTCCCAGCCCCTATAGCAAAACTTCCTCTACATGTGTATACACCCACTGTGGAGCCTATTAATGCCATCCCAGAGAGCAGGCAGCAGGTCTAAGCTAAAGACACCTTTCCCAGCAGCATTAGGTGCTGTGAGTGCTTTGTGTACAGCTCTTGATGCAGGAGTGATCACTAGCCTAGGCCAGCACACAGCCAGAAGTAAACAGACAGCCATGCTGGCCTTTGTAGGGAACTAAAATAGCAAAAGGCTGTTCATGGCAAGATCAAACTATCATAAAATTGGAAAGCACATTAAAGTCATTATCTTTGACCTTCCTCCCAACAGCAGAGAAGGTGTTACGTTCCATTTTAGCTGCAGGGAAACTGAGGCTCTGACTGCAGTCACACTGAAACACTCCCTTGTGTTCACAGCAACACAAATTCCCAGAGGACACTGTATCCAACCCAGATCAGAGAACGTCACAGAAGAGGTAACTGGACTAACTCCTGAATCACAAGGCCAGATACCAATTCTGCTGACTACCTTTACATAACCTGTAAGCTACTTAAAGCTTTTAAAGCCTCGGGTCATTTATTGTCTTCTCATACTGGCACAAGTAAATGCAATTACACCTGAAGTAATTTTTTATGCAGCAGAGAGACTACTGCAGAGGGTAAAAACAGGGTAAAAAAAAAAAAATTAACCAAAACCACAGGTGTCTCCCTATTCTGTTGTAGAGTTTTCCATCCAGGACATCTCACTTGGACTTCTTGTATTTTTTCAGTCTCAGGTCTTTCTTTCCATTTTATCACTTCCATAATGATTACTGCACTAAGGTCTTGCCACGTTGAAACAAAGCCTTTCAAGGAAGGAACAAGCTCCCAGTAGATATTTCCCTAATAAATAAGTCCCTTTTAAAGCTACAGTAACAACAAAGTTCCTAGTCCAACTGGCTGAAAACAAAATGGAGCTGCCTTTCAAGAAACAGTAGAAACACGTGGAAACATTTCATGCAAACTGGAGAAGTTGCAATGATTGCAGTCAAGTTCCTTTAAGCACTCTTGTTTTCCTAGTGCAAGAGGAGAAGGAAACACCATTTATGGTCTTCCCAAGCCAACATAAGACACTCTGTCACTTCCAGTTTCTCTGTGGTCAAACACCAGTTCCCAGGGTGCTCTGCAGACAAGGACAAAGTCACAAGAATATACATACCATTTTTCTCATGGATTTGTACTAGTGACTTATAGGACTGCTGTGCTCTTGCTAGATTATATTGATTCTGAAAGGATAAAAAAAACCAACATAAAAACCTGCATCTAGACATGGAAGACTTAAGAATAGTTCTTCTACAAGGAAACTCTACAGCGGGCTTACAAATAAAACCCATGCACAATGTTGGAACATTTCTGGCTTTCCAGTACAAGGTTGTCAAGACAAATATCCTTATTTTCTGATTTCTCCTCTGTCATAATGACAGTATTTTGTAGAGTCCTGCTGCTGGGAAGGTCCCTCCTGTCAGAAGGTTCAGAACCTGGGGTGAGTCAGAAGCATGTGTGAGCAGAACAGAAGGCTTCAGGCAATCCCTGCCATAACTCTGTCCTGCTCAGCTGGGTTAGGCAGAATTGTGATCATAAGCTTTTACATCTTACCTGAACTGGTACTTAACAGACACCCAAGCGACAATTTTGCTGTCTTAAAAATTAAAACATAATTTGAAAGCAGCATTTAATTCTTCACAGTCTTTTAAGTTACGGTCTGTTACCAGCATGCACACTTGAACTGAATTGTGCTTTCAATTAATGCTGAATGGTGAGCTTTGAAGTATTTGCATGTTATTATTTTTCCCTCTCTCATAAAACTTTGCAGGTGTCTCCAGCAATAGGAGAACTTCTTACCATGAATGTATTGTAATCCTGGCTGTCATCTACAGCCCTTCTCAGAGCCAGAACATCCAAATACTCCCAATTTTGATCCTCCTTCCCTCCCTCCCTTGCCAATGCAAGGATAGTAAGGTCTAACTACTTAAAACCCCTGCCCATCCCAAGGTTTTATCAAACTCATATGCTCATAATTACATAACAAACTCTTAATTGCCTCTAAAATACTCATACCCATGCACTAGACATCAAGACACCTCAAAATGCAAATATATTTGCAATGACAATTCTGTCATTAAACATCTGTGCAAGTCAACAAAGAAATGGAAGCCTAACAGTGATTTGTGTAATTGATAAACAGCACATTTACCTTATTGGCTCCAAACTGTACTCTGGCTTTTCCTTTGACTAAAGTGGCATTGATCTGCATGATGACTGATTCTATTGAGTAGGCACTGCTCCAGCCCTGGAGGAGGAAGGGAATATTAACATGTAACATGTACTTGTTTCTTGTGCTCACACTGTAAATCTATTTTGGAATGTGTGCTTTGGGATTATTTTTTTTTTCTGAACTCCAGTTTTACTTTTAACTACTTGTTTTCAGTTAACTTTTATTTTCCACAGAAAATCTGTAAAATGATACACAGTATTAGTACTAAGAACTTGTAAGGAAAATGAAAAGGCTGAATCACACATTTCCAAAATACAGCAAGACAGAAACAAAAAAGCTCCATTCCTACAGCACTTACACATTTTCAGCAACATCACAACAGAAATTACAACTTCTTGTTCCAAGAAGCAGAAAAGACTGATATCTAATGAAGTCATTCACTGAGCTGTGAGAATTTTGCTCCCATGACTACTATTGCTCATCTCTGCCACTGCTCTACCTTCCAGTGCTCACAAGAGCTTCTGCCAGAGCCTGCAGATAGTTACTTCATTCATTTACTTATTTAAAATCCCTCTGTCTACACAAGAATAACCTATGCCTAGAATCTCCTGTATTCCTCCCTTCTCCAGAGCTGACTCTGTGCAGTTGAAGAGACTTCTGGAAAAGAAAACAATGTGTCTTGTTCCCCAGAACTCCCTCTTCACACTGGCTTCCTCACAGAAACTCTGAGAATGCAAAGGTGATGTGCTCTCACTTCTTCTGCCTCTTCCTCAGATCTCTTGTAAGCCACCCAAGGTAGAAAAGAAGATCTCACACAAGATCTGCAAGGCAAATCTTGTGGGACTGAGGTTTATTCCACCATGCTCCCTTTGGAGCGTGTAATTTATTCCACACAGGAATTCTTCAACTCAGGGAAAACACCTATTTTTATTATTTTAAAGCATGTTTTATTATTATCCAGATAACAGAGCCTGTATTCACCTGTTTAGTAAGAAGTTCCATGCATAATGCACCTCCACCTAGGACATACCTAGAAACAAAGGTGAAAGAAGATATATTTGACATCAGCAGTTAGTAAAAAGATGCAACTGCTCACTGCACTTTAAGCTCTTGCCAGCTCGTTTGTTAAATTCCTTGTTCATAAAGCTGAAGTGCCCTTTAACCAGAAATATATTGTAACTAGTGAGCCATGTTATACTCTTAAGTAAAGAAGATTAGCATTGTGAGACAAAAAAAAAAATTGTTTGCTAACTAGACTTGGTTAAAACCAGTGACTAATCTAGTGTGCACAACTGCTCAGAGACACTGGAAAAAAGAAAAGTTGCTTTTTATGGCTAAGCTACATAGGACTGATGGGTAGTTCAAAAAAGCCAACAACAGTCAATTCTGTAAAGAAATTTAACACAATTTCCAACAATACAGGGGCACCTATAAATCAAATGAGATAAAGCAGATCTTCGCTTGCTCTTTTCCTATAAACTCCTTTCTAATTTCAATAACACTTCATCGTGCATTGTGCTGACTGGGACTCAGCAGAAGACCTGAGCACCACAAAACCTGGACCAAGGGAGTAGAACTGACCACTCCCAAAATGTGGTCTGCTCTAGGGTCAAGGCACTCAAACCATTCAGAGGGAAATGACTGCTGAAAAGCTATTCTTTGATCATTCTACAAAGTCCAAGTAGAACAAAATGAGAATCCAAAGAGTGTTTTCTGGTGTTCTGCTCGTTTAGTTTAGAGACAGCAGCACCCCTCATGAATGCTATTTAACTGCACTAACCAGGGCTTGAATTCAAAAAAGACACAGAGCAATTAAAATCAAATCAGGATCAGCTATCACAGACTGCATTTTCAAATGCAGGTATCATTTTCTGTCACCAGAAGATGCATAAAAGCCTTGGAAGGTGAATTTAATCTTCTCTCCATAGATATATAAGAGTTTCTGTGCCACAGACAGCACTTCAAACATGCTTTAGATGACATTTGGAGCATGGTGTCGATTAAATGTAGCGGGTTTGGATTAGCATTCAAGGATTTTTACACAAAATCTTTATGGTAGTGTTACAGCAAGAGAACCAGTTAGGACTATACAGCAAATTTAAGGCAACACAGGGATCAAGACCCATTCAAAGCACCAACTCAACCATCCACAAAGAGGCCAGTTCTGGAACAGCAGGGCAGGCACAGAGTTTTTCAAGTTGTGACACTTTTACCACAAAGTACAATTTCTGTAGGGCAACTCAAACCTACCCTCCTGTGAGCACAGGAGACACCACTCGCACAAAGGGAGGATCAAAAGGGAAGTTATCCTGAAAAGAACAATAAAAAAAAAAAACACACAATAGGTTAAGAAATTATTTCCTAAGCAGAAAGTATTTCAATAGCCTTATCTGGTAAATCAGATTTGAAATAGTGCAATTTTTCAGTTCTGTCAAAAATCACTTTTCCACAGTACTGGAAAAAAAAGAAGCATTTTCTGGGAAGCTTTAGTGCAGTATCCTCCCCCCCACCCTTTTTTATGCTACAGATCCATTTTTACCCAAGTAACAGCTGAGGGTCACTTCACTCACTTTCCACAGTAAACCTCAAGTTTAACCACAGCATTTCTTCCCCCAGACACATACCTTAAAAGAGAAGTTGAGTAAAATGTATTCTACACCTTCTTTTTCTTTTAAGAACTGAAGATCACTATGCAGTGGGCTATCAGGGTCAACCCTGTAAGAGAAGCAAGGGGGAGATCTTGGATGTAGTTAAGATTTTCACCACCTGTAAACAGTAATTCTTCTCAAAGACTTCCTTTATGTAATTACAGTTTACAAACTGAAATCTAAGGTGAACTCTAGAAAATTCTTGCTCCTTTTACAAAGTAAACACTTTGCCATGAGGTCAGCCTGAAAGCTTGCTGCAGTGCACTACATTCCCAATGCTATCAAGTGTTATTTCAACACAGCACAAAATAAGCTGTTTATTTGAAGAGAGCACTTTTAATTCTCTTCAGTTCACTGGAAATCTATGTTCAAAAAAAGAGGGGAAAAAAATTAACAGGACTGTAGTCATCTAGTTTTCAGTACACAGTTAGTGAACCCTTTATGGAATATGTAACTGTAGTTCTGCATCAGCTGTTAAAAGTAATTTGCATCAGCAGAAATACTAAATCCAGCAGCTTCTGCTCAGCAGAATTTCAACAACTGCTTGTTGCAAAATGCTGCTGATGAGCAGCCTGACCATTAATTCAGTCACTACTGGGTCAATCCCACCCAAGCTCTGACACCCCATCAGCTTTTAAGAGACTTTTCAAAAAACACCTGCAGCAAGCCCAAAGCACACATTAAAGGGACTGACAGGCTATCAAAGCCAATCCTCTGCTACAGGTGGAATCACAAAGATATGAGATCCCATTCCAGAATTACTTGGGCAGTTTATCCCCATCCTTCCAGCTTGAAGTTGTTCAGAAGAGAAATCTTCTGTGCTTAGAAACCTCTCGTTCCCAGCCATAGCTTGTCAGTGTGACTTGTTCTAGTTACAGTGCTGCTCCTCACTCAAATGGGCTCTTTTATCTGACATTTACCCCCCTGGCCAGTCTGCACAGTTTGTTTGTTTTCAGACACTTCTTGCCGTGATGAACAAACACAACACTTATTCTCTTAGTCATTCTGGAAAGCATTTGCTGCATCCAGCCCATTTTCTCTTTCTTGAAGGCAGAAAATGAGGCCTGTTCACAGCACTCCAGCAGAGGTTTCCAACCACTGCACAGTGGTTTGAGCACTTTGTTAGAGGTGCTCGACAGAAAAGGCCTCCTGTTACATGACACAGATTTTTCTGACACGTCATTCCTGCCATTTTCAGCTCCAAAACATTCACAAGTCCCTGATTACACCGAGGAGGGAAAAAACCTGTGTTTCAGCAGCTGGTGGCCCAGCTGTACAAGTCTCACCCCTAGGACAAAGCAGCAACTCCTACAGGCAGGTCACCACTGTGCTGGGACAGCCACTCCTTGTCCTGATTCACCAGGACAGGTCTCAGCTGAGGGAAGTTCTTTCATCCACTGCCATCTTTTGCAGCCCCCCAGCATGGTTTGGGTAGGCTCTACCTTGTGTGATGGCAGATGGTCTTCTTACCAGGAATAATTTCAATATAACACCCCTAGGATTACAGTTACTGGACTATGGACACAACAAGATGAGTTATGTACTGCTTTTCATTGTGTGCACGAGGAGATGAGAGAAGACAAATTATATATAATTATGTAACTCACATTTGTGTGATATCTAAAAGTTTCAGTCCTATGTCTGTTCAACTGTAGAAATAAAGAACTGATGACACTAAGACAGTTCTGTTCCTTCTTACATCTTGAATGAAACTAAAAATTGCATTTTCTTGACATTAAAAACAACTAAAAATAAAACCATCTAAAAACTCCAGAAAAAAAAATGTTCATCATATAAGGTTTCATATTTTGGAGCAGTTTTAGAGAATTGAACAGTAATGACAGTTACTGGATTACACACTGTGTTGGCAGTGCAAAGAGGGTTTGTCTTTTTGCCAGCTCAGTTACTACAGTTCCATATTTACACATTCCTGTATATCAGAATTAGAGCCACTCTTTAGTGGCTACAGTTACCATTACTACTTTTACTACTGTAACACACTATTTTATATGCTCTGGCTAGAGATTCTCATTTATCTAAAGTAAGAATCTCTGCAGCAATAATAAAACAGATTGTTCAGAATATGAAAAAACTTGAATAACTTACTTGAGAAGCTTAACATGCCATTCATACAAGCTGTCATTTACCAGTTCCACTGAATATATCCCTGTAGAAATATTAATGGGATTAATTATGCACTAAAAGCATTACAAGGTAAAATGTAGCAAAAACATTCTTTGCATTTAAGTACAAATACTGTCAGTAGATGTAAGCAATGGGTAAGATACTGTCACTGCAGCACACTCTTCCTCCACTACAAGTAGCAGAAGCACTTCTGAGCAACTACAAGGAAAAAAAGTCTTTTCACTTCCATAAAAAAATTAATCAAAATGTTTTTCTGACACCTAACCATTTCCCCTTCAGACTTTCCTCAACTGCAAGTCCAGCTTTCTTTTTACTCAGTATATTTTACACCCAGTACAGGACCAACATGCTTTTAAGACACCTAACACACAGTCTGAGTGTGCAGAACAGGATTTCACAGGCTCTCATCTGCACTGGCACACCAGGACAGGACACTGGACAGGGTATGGAGCAGAAACCCAGAAGATACTGCATGGGATGGAGCACATTCCCAACAGCTGACTGAAGGAGCCAGAAAGGTGCACTGAGGGAACTGCTGTCTGGGGGAGCCAGCTGGTGATTTCCAGTGGTCTGTTTGTTTTAAGGATGTTCCATAATAGTTGTGCATTCCACTCACAGGGAAGGAGGGAAGTTATCTGCCATTTGCTTGCATATTCAAGCTTCCTCTCTGCATAAATTCACAAGCAGTCCAGGAAAAAGCCATAAATCTTTACCCATTAAACAAGATTTAGAACATAGTATCAGTCATGTTCTAAAGTCTAATCTCATCCCTCACAGACTATCCATGTACATACACTAAACCATTAGGATTAAAACCTGTTACCTGGCCTAATATTTAACAGCATCTCTGCTGCTGAGGTAATTATTTGGAAAACATATGCAAATCAGGAACCTGCCAAGGATTTCTGAAGGCCCTACAACCACCACAGTGCAGTTACCACATTCTCTCCAAGGGATGGCATTATCTATTTCTGGGTTTTATTATTCCAGAACAGAGATAATCTTGCAGTCGAAACTTAGAAGCGTTGGTGCTTGGAGTACAGGTGACATTTCAAACTGTCCAGACACCTTTATTTCTAAAGCATTTCAAAACTCAGTAAACAGGGTAAAAAACCCGTGCCTGTTTCTCCTTACTGAGTGTACAAGGCAGCCCAGCCAAGAGCATTACTGCAAAGTTTTCTATGTCTAGAACAACAACGTAGGCCTGAACACTCACTCAGCGTCCTCTCCATGTCCCTTTTAATCAGCAGCTGGTTCAGAGACACAACATTTCTGTTCCAGGATGAACTGAAGGAGCTATTGAGGCCTTTTTCCAATTCCCCAGATCCAAGGACACTATTTTCTGATTGACCTTCATGTAAGTTGAAGTCAGGAATTATAAGAATTTCAATTTGTACTGTTCTGATGTAACAACAACAGAGTTGACATTCAGAACTCTGCTCATTGTCAACTGCCATCCATGATGAATCTATTCCACTGTTGTATCCAGAATATTTTCTTCCACCTGCATCCAAATGGGAGTAAAGGCTGGAAGAAGCAGCCTCTCAGTATTCCAGCTTTGGCACCAGCATAAGTATAAAATACTTATGTTGGAACAATGGAACAAGTTACAGTGAGGATCCTGACACTACCCTAAACAACAGATCACAAGAGAACTTCAGTAGTTTGTTCATTCACTAAAGCCTCCAGCCCTACTCCCTTCCATTCCTCCCATCACCCTTGAAGTTCATGGACCAGTCCTTCAGCTCCAAGACCCACAACATTTTGCCACCTTCCCCAAAGGAGTGACTTGTGCTGCCCTTCAGAGCTGTGCTGAACCTAAACCAGAGGCTGCAAAAGGGCTCTTCAGAGAGACAGGCTCAGCTCAGCACTGACCAGCACGAGCCTCAACACAACAGCAGGAGACTTCATCAGCCACTCCAGCACCCACATTTTGAGACAAATAGTATCTGTATCTCCTCATGAACAGCAGCATGGTGGCTCACTGTCTTCAGACAGAAGCTTCTTAACAACACTATGCAAAGTTGAGGGGGGGTTGTTTGGAGTTTTCTTAATAATCAAGAGGTGTTATTTGAAAGCAGCTCATATGTTTTTTTTCTTAGTTTTGACAGTAAGAGGAAAAAAGTTTCTGTCAAGAAGTATTTATCTGATTAACATCAGTTTCTGAGGGGTCCTTCAGGTAGGAAAGGAATCAAGGTAAATTCCTCTCAAACACACACTTTCCCTGTGCTTAAAGAGTTTTTTTTTGTTTTATTCCTCTAAGAGGCCATCTGTAGAGGTGATCAAATAAAAACAAGCACACAGAACCATGCAAGCAAAAAATTAAGTAATTAAAAGGTAAGAAGAAAAACAATTCATTCCAAAATAGAGGCATTATTTATGACAACTTTACTACATCTGGAAGTAACTCCTATACAGTCTTTGGATAAAAGCAGTGAGTGGACATCACTACATATGAACAACACAGCTGCTAAAGGTATAAAAAGATTTCGTTTCACAGCTCTAAATTCTTTGTTCCTCCCCTTCCTTCCCCAATCTCCCAAATTACATTAAGACCCTTGTGAATCTCCAACTTCATATCTGGAACTTCGCAGGACTTGCATTACCTAAACAGGTTAATGAAACTGTCTAATTCATAGCAGAATAAATTTGCTGGAGTGTTTTTTGCTTCTGTTAGTTCATATGAAGATTATTTTTGGTTTCTTTAAGGGCAGTCCCTCACCTAGACTGCCCAGGTATAAGCAGCTTTGCTGTTGAGAGCAAGCTTGTCATCTTTTGCCTTAACTCGAACAGTATTATTTCAATTGATAAAGGAACTTGAGTTCTAAAATGGATACTACCCTCAGTACACTTCTGCTGTTGAAGACCTCACTGTGTGTTTTAATACTATTTTTTAATAAAACATTTTAACAGAAAATAAAAAATGTAAAGGACTATTGCTACAAATATTATTCCCTTCAGAACTCCCAGTATAGTCCTACTGTCAGTCCTAAAAACACGTAAACAGACTAAATAAAGTGATCCTTTCCCAACTCAAAATCAGGCTTAGACTTTCTGCCTTGTGTTACAAAAAATGAAAGGAGTGTTAAATTCCTTTGCAACTATTACCAGAACCTTTAAGTTTCACAATGGTTTCTTTTGTGTGTTTAATTTTGGAAGAAATTAAATTAAGGGAAAAATGGTCCGTGGAACAAGTAGTCAGAACAAAAATGACATTAAAAAAAGCCAGTTACCTACCATACCCATGGTGACAGTTATCTCACAAAAGGCAGAACTAGGCTATAAAAGGTTTTGTGCACAGGAAAGAACCGATCCTTAAATTCGCTCAAGGTCAAAGGCTAAGTGAAGCCATAAGGAGTGAATGTAGGTAAGTTTTATAACAAACAGCACCATTTACTGGCAAGTTTAGTAAGTGTGTCAGTAGAACAGTGTTTCAAAGCAGGATTACCATCAGCTTTGTAGTGCCAGCCTCCACTTGACACTACTTCATTAACATGCTTTAGAGATGAACATGAGGCACCCAGTTGCAGGCTTCTTACATATTCCCGGGTCACAAGCTGGAATCAGTTACTGCACTCACACTTTAGAACCTCAGCTTTCTGTACAGTTTAGCAAGATTTACTTTTCCTCATAATTCAGTCTTTTGCAACTACTAAAGAGTTGTTATTAATCCAAGGCCAAGAAATGGCATTATCATACAGCCTAAATCCTCACCTTACACTACACCAGCTGCAGGGGCTCCCGTACCACCTTGTGAGGAAGCTCCACACAACAACCTTTACAGGCAGGTGGGTTTGTTACAGCCAACCTTAGCTCTGATCACAAAAACAACCCTGAAGAACACAAATGGGCAGGAAAGGATCCCTCATGACTTAATGCAGATCTATTTCCAGGCTCTTCCCTAGACCCACTAATCCATTCCTCACCGGATGGCTGGTGATTAGGGCACCCTGGCAAGCACTCAGCTGCAATAAAGCCTAAAAGAAGTAGGCTGTGTTAGATCAACACCAGGTACACTGGGTTACCTACTCAAATTTATACTTTGGACATTTTACCGCTGTCTGCAGGTACTTCAGCACATAAAACAATTTACTAGGAGTTAAATATGACAAATCAAAGCAGGAGCCTATGGGCTCTTCACCTCTGTCCTTTCACACAAGATTGAAATGCTGTTGCCAAGGGAGATTTAAGTCCACTAGAAATAAATCTGGGGAGAAGTTCAGAAGAGTAAAAGATGATTAAAGTTTAGATTGACTCTCTAATGGGGCATTTTGGCAGGCCTAAAGGAATAAAACTTGCCCAAAATCTATGTAATTTCTACTTCTTGCATGGTAGCACTCAGACAATTCAATAAGCTGATTCCTTTGCTGAGCTGGTTTAGATACAGGCCCTACAGGGAACAAATGGAACAGGCAACCACCCACCTAAAGATAATCACTGTTCATTGTTCTAACAAATTTAAAATGCGAGCTTGTTTTCTACTGTCATTTGTATAATTATTCCAAGGAATACATGGAGCTTAGGATCAGATTAACACCATCACAAAATAATAGAAGTAACAGCAGCATAATTAAGGTTAAATCATACATAATAAGTAAATCTGATGCTGTTGAACACAAATCCCTCTACAGCAAACACGTTCCTGTGAGCAGTACTACCCTCCAGGAGAGGTTAAAGCCTCTGCCCTACACACCTTTCAGGTTGTTCTGAAAACTCAAGTCCCACAGGAGCAATCTTGAGTTCTTCGTAGTCATCCACCCCAAGAGCACTCTCATAGTTACACCAATCCCACTGATTTTCATACAAGACTTTACATAACAAAAAGAAAGAACATTTTACAGGATATGTATGCCCTGACTTCTTTTCTCCACAAATGCACTACTTTATGTAATGAGATTATATATAATTTACCTATGTATTTTTATATATGTGCACACACGGATACACACACAAATACAGGACAACAAAACACAGAAGGATTAGCAGAAGTATTCACCAACAGAATTCTATTAAAGTGTATTTCAAGAAGGGCAATCTGAGGCATTTTACCTGTTTTATAACTCTGTGATCTATATATATCCCTGAGTTCTTTCATAAGTCGATCTGAAGCCTGAACTGACCCAGAGACTGCACCCTGAAACAAACAAACAAACAAACAAAAGATTCCAAATAAGTGAAAAGTCATATTTACAAACAGCTTTATTTACATACAAAGTTAAACTAATTGGAAGGTATTAACAATATATTCATTTCTGTATGGGAATTAGTTTTTTTGAATAGTTAAACATTCTAGTGAGCAGATTACTTAAAAGAAACAAGGCACTCCCTCTAAAGCAGTACATTAATATATACTACAATATGGTATGGGTGATACAACTTTTAACCAAGGTACAACAGGTATTTTCCTGTAAAGGAGCTAAATCTCTCTGGCATTTTAATTTCCAAGATGGATCCACAGTATGTTTCTAACAGCAAAACATTTTGTTTTCCCTTCTGCTTTTATGCAACAGAGAAGCGAGACCAACCAGTATATCTGGAAAATGTGAACAAAAGCAATATTTATTTGCAATAGATGAAAAAAAATCAACACCTCCACAGAGGAAGACTAAGGTAAATAAAGCTCAAAATACTTTTTGTGATTTGTCACAGGCCAGAAACGTCTTTGGTTTGGTTTTTTTTAGAGTTCACTTCTGTATACTCAGCACCTCGGAGTGATAGAAAACCTAGCACCCAGTTTCTGAACCCAATATTTCAGCCTGAGATACAGTGCTAAAGGGAAAGAAAAATATGGGATAAAAGGAAAGAAAAAAGGAGACCAACTTTAAGTAGTATGCATATAAAATATATGATTGGCTCTAAAATCCCCCAGCTACTGACAAACTAATGAACACAGCAGCTCCCCAGTAACTGATGTCTCCTTCCAGCAGCTGCTGCTGCACTGGATGTGTTCTGCACACATCACCACTGCTCACATTTCCATGACCCTGGTATTCAATTTTGCCTCAAATCTTCTGGGCTTTAAAGTGAGGACAGAACCTTTTCCTCATACAAAGTTGAAGGGCTTATCTGGAACAACATGATCATCAGAAGTACCTAGATTACTCTCTCCAATTCAATGCCAAAGCTAACAGGATGGATTCTGATACTAAACTTTAGATATTACCTGATTTCTCTGTTATATATTCCATCCAAAACATCATTTTAGGTTCAAGATTTTTGAAAAACAGAGATACTAGGTAGCATTACAAGATTTAAATTACAGAAAAGGAATGAGGACTCCAAATGAGGTAAGGTAGGTATCACCCTGAGCCCCAACACTTTGGGCTTTCACCAGTAAACAACGTACAAACAGATACTTTTTGGACAGAATGTCAGAGAAGTATTTCTGGAGGAATATGAAAGAGCTGTGACCCTTGTCTAATACCTATACCATCACCCTATTCACCTGAAGTCATCAGTGATGTCTTATATTCTACAAGGTCTTAATTGTAGAACCATATTATCATTTACTGATATTTAATTCTTATTAACAGTTACTTGACGCTAAAGCCTCCACATACTCCTGTCCTCCCTGTGCAGCAGCATCATAGAATATGCTTAGCTGCACACTAGAGTCTGTAGACTATTCTTTTAAGCCTATTCATTTTCATATGCCACTGGATAGAATTATGCAGATTACTGAAATTCCACTAGTTTTTCTTAACGGACCAGTATGAAAAATGAACTTTGGAATTAAATATGCAAATAACAGGCAACTCCTTTCATGTGATTCAACAAAAGCTACATAAAGACAGTGCACCAAACCAGTCACTTCTCAGTTTACTGAAACCCTTCTCTATAGAGCAGTATCAGGTGAAGGGATTCCTCTTTCTATAACACAAGCACATGCAATTTTATGGAAAAAGCTTGTTTATATACATTATTAGCATATTACTACTATTTATGCCCACTATTTACAGAGAGATGAAAAAGAAGCATTACACAAGTTAACATGTTAATCACCATTCCTTCTACAGTTGTTTGTGAGTGTCAAGGCTGAGACTCAATGTGTTGAGTCTGCAGGAAAACTTCATGGAGAAGTGTCAAGGTTCTGGTTTTCTTCTGTGCAGAGCTGTGCAATATCCTTGCCCCTTCTGCTGTATTTCTTACTGAAAGGAGTTTTCTTACATTTTTCACAGAACATCAATCTCTGTATAGAGGCAATTTAAAAACAAGCTAGATGGTCAAAACCATCCTGTGGAAAACTAGTTTCCTCACTGCATCTTTATTTCCATCAAGTTAAGCTACTGAATTTCTATACATAACTTTGGAAGCTCATCTTGGCATATCAAAATGTGATTAACTTCTCTACTGTAGACATTTAAACCCCAAAACTTAACACACCCCCATACCCCTGACTGCCATTATAACTGCTGATAAAATGAAGTGGTATTAAAAATAAAGTTAGTTTTAGTGTGTGTAAGTAGCCTCAGTAGACCTGGTCTATAATACTGTTTTTCACCCTTTTTTTCTAGCAGTTTCTAGTTGGGTTGCCCACTCTATATAGCAGTGTTAAATATAGTTACAGTTGCTACTCTAAAGAATCCATAGACTGCAAACCAGCAACCTACAGTTAGGAGAAAGAGGATAGCAAGCTTAACCTCAGCAGTTTAGCACAGGAGCTTATTTTACTTGCTCTGAACTAACTCTGAACAACTTGGAGAAAGCTGGAAGAGGAAGGTAACTTATGGTAACACCAACCACCACTGCTCTAAAACACACATCTTCATTCTGGAATCACTTCTGGGTTTTATAGCTACTGTTAAAGTGCAGTTTAGAAGAAAGTACTACTTGCATCACATCATTGCATGATATAGAGCAGGCAGGTCAAGTTTTGACTATAAAAGCACTAAAATTAAAAACTCGTTCAGTAACTTGCTATATACAAGTTATAATTCCCAAGACTGAATTCAGATATAAATAACAGAGTATCCTTCTGGAAAAATGGGACTTGACACTCCAAGGGAGTTCAAGTTACCATTTCTGCACTTGGGAGATCAAGATTTATGGTTGCAACTGTCTTGGGAAAAAGTGATCAATCATGGGATCTGACAGGTATCTGTCACATGGGGCTGATGCCATTTCATCTGAATTAGTTAATAGAGCTGCCAGACAAGACTCAAGTGATTTTTGTTTCCTATTAAATAGGCACAAAAAGCCTCACTTGATCATCCTCTCCTGTACAAGCATATCTGTGGTTCTCCAGAAGAACGGGCAGGTAAGCTGGAGAAATCCCTGCTGCAGGAGGGAAACATCTTTGTGGACAACATGGCAACTGCTGAGAGCTGCAAGTACCAGAAATACCTGGTGCAGGAATTCCCACAGCCAAGACTGGGGGACAGAAATAGTATTTATGAGATAAATCACCACAAGCTTGTCCTGTTCTCAAACTCTTCCCCTTCAGGATGTGCCTCTGCCACTGTCAGAAACGTGACACTTGAGCAGTGCAGCAGCTGGGCCAGCACTTGCCACTGCCCAGCTCTGTCTGCACTGGGCCTCCAGAGACAGGAGGTTTTTCTTTTCCCCTTCCAGTCCTCAAAACACAAACACAGTCTGCCCCCCTCCCCAGGTTACATGAGGTAGGAGGTGCAGTTCATTGCAGTTTTAGATCCTAAGACCAGAATGTTTTATGTCTTGTCTGAAAAGTACTGTCACGCATCAAAGCACTACAGGAAACCATCTCACAATACATTCTAGACATTAATATTATTAATATCTGTAATATACTAATATTATAGATAATTTAGCCACAAGACCAAAAATCACCTGCTAAAACAAAACATGGAAACTTCCCCAAGATAACAAAATAAAAATCTCAAGAGACCCAAAGAGAGCTAAAGAACATGAGATGCTCTATTGTCACAGAACTTTTGCAGTATTTGTGCAGTGTACATTCATTCCTGGAAGTTACAGTAGATTCACACTTACTTCAAGGGTTAGAATGAAAATAGAAATGACACCTTAGACTTCATAAAATCTGAAGACAAAAGTAGAGACATTTGAGACTTCTAAAGGAAAGTGCATAAACTCCTCAGTATGAAATGGGAAAAGCTAATAGCATTATCTAAATAAGAAAGGGATTAATCTCTAAAATGACTATGTGGGGAGAGACCTCTGAAAAGCAAGCAGCAGCAAGTTGTTAAATATTTGATGTTAATGATTCCAGTTCAAAGACCTCTTTTAACTCTAAGCAAGTGGTTCTTTAAAGTTATTACAATGTTAAGAGGAGGATTAATTCTTGCTCCAAGTTACAAACTGTACCACAAGCCAAATTTATTTCCTGATGCCAGCAAGAAGAATGGGATTAGGGATACTGCCAAGGAAGAGAACTCATTTACAAAATTAGTAGATAGACATGCTTAACTTGTAAAATACAAACTCTAAAATCTCCTATGACAAAAGTCTTGAGAAGCAGAAAAACGTCTTTAACCTGTTAGAAATAAATGATGATGGGGCTGCATGCACTGCTTTCCTAAGGAAAAGCCTTTAGCACGATCCATAACTTCAGCCTGTGCTGCAGCAAGGGGAGAGAGGACAACCCCTGGCTTTGGGCCAGTGAAGGAACTGTCAAGTCTCCTGGCTGCACTGGGCACCAGCCAAAGCCTTCCATCAGCCTTCCCATTCCCTCTTCCAATCAGCGGCAGAGAAACGCCTTGGGTTTGTTTTACTGATCTCTGCTGGGGAAACAGAGAACCCCAACAAAGCTGCTGGTTTGGGTAGGGAACACACTGTGTTTAGCCACTGCATTTAAGTTTGTGACACTCGTACTGTCCTTGAAGGAACCCACCTGTGAGGGCTGTACAGATTGAAGTTTTGCTGTGTCAGGACACTGAGCAAACTTCTGCTCTCTCAGGGCACAGTTAACACCTTCTATTAAACAGAAGTCCCACGTTTTGGCAGCATGAAAGGCCACTGAAGTGCTACTAGGTGAGCTCTTTCCCAGGTCAGTAGCACAGCTATCATCTTCTGTTCCACAGCATTTAAGAGTAAACCCTCACAAGTCCTTTGAGAAATTATTTCAGCGGCACAGCTATTTCTGGTGACCCACAAAAATACCACAGTTCCTCAGCAGCAGTTGAATACCCTGTTCCCTGTACTCAGCTGACCTTGTTTATGCACCAGCATCAACGAGAGTGTCTTGGCATGAGAAGCAGCTATTATGTAAGTTGAGTCTGCTGTTGTCAAACAGAAAACCAGCAGTGTTCATTTCAGCTCCACTAAATGTGGAAAGGGAGAAAAAGCAAAAGGAAAGGAAATATTTGCCAAATTGGAAAGAACAGACAGCAAAAGAAAATCTGCAGTTTTAAGAGGCTTTCTGCACCAAGGAAGAATGCTGACACTACAAAAACCTTCTTTCAGTTCTACCAAATTTTAGATGACGGTAAAGCAGGTCATGCCTTTCAGGTTGCAAGAGAATTTAGTTTCTTGAATAAATAAGGAGTCTTTACCACTAGATCTGAGCTATAAACACAGAAATACACAGAAATTCAATAGGCATCTTCTCAAACTGTGAACATTTAAGTTTAAACAAAAGCAATAAATGACTGTTGCATTTATGGTTAGTCAAGTCTCAAAATCAGACTACACAGCAAATGCAGTTTGGCACCTTATGCTTACCTGTTTTTAAGTAATGAAATACTGGTCAGGTTTAGGTGTTGTGGGGTTATTTGGTTGGGTTTTTTTTTTTGGTTGGTTGATTGTTTTTTTCCCCCCCTCGGGGGTCATCATTACTGTGCACTCCCTTCAGACCATCTGACAGGTAACTACTGAGTTCACACACAAATCAGAGCAGTTTCCTTTAGCCAGTTACCCCACGCTGCCATTTCTGCAGAACATAAGTCTCAGGTACTTGTGACAGGTTTGCAGTCAAGTCATATTCAAACAGCACAGGGACAGCAACAGAACACTGGTAGCTGAGGAACTCAGAAGCATTTCTGCTTCATTTCCTTTCAAAAGCAGATGGCTACACACTGAAACTCTTTCCCCTGGTAAAGTGTCAGTGACCAAGAGGAAGAACTTCTTCTTCTAAATTAGAAGACTCAGTAATTCATGACAAGAAATAGTCAAGATTCTGCTAACTAGAGGAGCCTTTTCCCTGAATTCCTATGATAACTGGATCTATCAGGAGTGCACCCAATATTAAAAGTGGATTGGCTTGGCTAGAGGTAAGCACTTCCTATAGAGCTCTCACTACAAATGAGAAGAGGTTTACAACATCAATTTTCTTGAATCTAATATAATTCTTTAATGCATTTTAGGCTTTTTAGGAGACATTTGCTGCAAAAATCATCAAGTATAAGAACTAGAACAAAAATCCAGGTGTGTTCCTTACATACCAATCCTAAATCTTATTCCTTTCCTAAACAAATATTTACAGGTCCCTCCCCTGCACCTCACTACTGTTCACATCTTCAACTACAGGCTGAATGAGGAACAGCACAGCTTGTGTCTGGACATGATTTACATGTCTGCTCACTTGCCAAACAGCACAGGAAAACCTCTGGGCTCACACAGTGGGAGGCACCAGTTCAGGCACTTTCTTGCTGTACAGGTGACTTATAAAAATCTTAAAACCCTTTGGTTGAAACAGAAGAATCGAATTTCCTGCTTTACACATTTTAAACCTCTATGAAACAGAAGTTTTGATTTCTTTGGGAGCCAGGTTAAATAAAATTAAGGTTGTATGACATCATCACTCCCTCCTACGTGCACTTTTGAGAAGCAGAAGTGTCTCTGGAACTTGGCACTTGTGACAAAACATTTCTAAACCTCTGGAGAACAAACTTTTTTTTACAACTGCCTGCTGGCAAGATCCCTCAAAAAAACTGATAACAAAGGTGCAGAGCTGCTGAAGGCCCCTTGCTTCACACCTGGCAATAAAAAAAAAAAAAAAAACCAAAACCAAAACAACCCACCACCCTTCAGTAACTTCCATGTGGCACAGATATTACTGAAAAGTAAATTCATGCATAAAATGTATTTAAGGCACAAATTCCCGGGTCCCATGATTTCTAATGTGGTCAGTTTTAAACATGGCTTTTTTTCTACTTTAATAAGGGCTCAGCAACAGAAGTCATGCTCACAGCCTCTGTGCCTCCTGTTCACAACAAAGGCACTGAGCAAGAGACAGAGGGACAACCAAAGAGATACCTCTGGAAATGACACAAGCAGTTAAATAGTCAGCTACAGGTTAATTTACTTGTGGATTCATAGCAGTGGGCTGGATTTGCTGAAAACCATCTCTGTTTTAGAGTCAGAAATATTACACAGAAGTATTGCAAAGTATTCCATTGCAGTTAGGATGGAATCATTAACTCACATTTAAGTGATCTTGCCTTTGATTTTTTCTGATTTTTTCTAGGATTGCAAGGTTCTCTTTTTCAATGCCTTCATCCTCAGACTTCTTCCCATCAACTGGTTCCTCCTCCTTCATATCATAGTGATCCAGATCCTCAATGTCCTACAGGATAGAGGAAAAAGTTAATTGTAAATAACTGCACTGTGCTCTTAATTCGACGAAACCCTCTCCAAGAGCACAGTCACATACTGCACAGCACTACATGTTTGTGATTGTTGCATGCCATTTCTATTTTGTTCTAACTTCATTCTCAGCCAAAACTGGAAGTGTAGGGAGCCCTCACACTACAAACAAAACCCAAATTCACAACCCGTCTCTGGTCACAGAAACAAGCAAAATAAAACCTCTGCATAAAGTCAGGACTGTAGTGCATTAGCCCACTAAAGTAGGTAGAAAACAGGGCTTGAGAACCCAAAAGTACCTGAAGCTGGGGTGGCTCCAAGATGTTTCTAAAAGCAACCTCTCTTTTCAGTTCAAATCCTATCTATTCTACACTTCTGGCACACAGTTATTAACAGATCTGGTAGGGCTGCAGCAGCCCCTAAAGAAAGTTAAATATTAGAAAATTACGTGTACTTTACTCAAGGTGAACATTTCAGCTAAAGATCAGATGTAGGAATTTTGGAACTGAGACACAAAACACTGTGGTCGAGCATTCTTGATCACACAAGCAACATTTCAGTTCTGAGTTCTAGACTAAGACATTGAGAGATCCTCTGCTCTGTGCTCTGACATGGGGTCATCCTGTTGCAGAGGAGCACTCTGAGCTTCAGGCAACTGCCTGGGAGGTGGCTCAAGTGCTAGTTGTGGAGAGGAGGGGAAGGATGTAAAAAGGAAGCACTCCAGCAGCCACCCCAGCAAGCTCTGGTTACACAACTGTCAGACACACTCCGACATGCAGAGCTCTGCCACACTGGGGCTACTCTTCACACACCACCTGTTTGCATGGCAGGAAAACCTGGCCATAAACCCAAAACCAGGGATGTCCTACGGCATAAGAACCACCTCTCTGGTGCCCCTGACAACACTGTTTCCTTCAACTGCAACAGACTGAGTATTCTTCAAAATTTGTTTCTCAAAGCAATGACAGAGCCCCAGGAATCGGCTGCTTTCCCATTCAGAACTTGGAGGAGTCACAGGTTGAAGATATCACTGCCACACACAGAGCCACCTGACAGCTTATAAATAACAGCAGGCAATTTTTTTTGGTGCAAAGTAACCCAAACAGAGTCTAGAAGTCTGCAAGCAATGAGAACCTTGTGTCAGCAGGTGTTCCCACCACCTTCACAGAAACACCAGCTCCAACAAATGTCTTCTGGATCAGACTAAATATGGTGTGAACAAGGTGGTTTCAAATTAATTCCAGAACTTGGTAACATTTAGGTCATTTCTAAAGGAAGACCTTTTATTCGGAGAAAGAGTTGTTTATTCTTACTACACTTTCACTAAAAACCTAAATCTGAAGTACTCAGAACAGTTCTCCTACAGTAATGCTATTTATAGTGGTTTAAAAAGCAAGCATCTTGGAGCTATTCTAACAGGTAGCAGAAGTAAGCAAAAAGGGTAGTTCTTACTACCCTTACATTAAAAGGAGCACCACGTTGCCAGACAGTGACAAAAAAGTTCATTGTGTCCGTTTGGATGTCCTTCCATTTCCTTCAATGTATCAAAGTTAAAAACTAGCTCACCTGTTTAATGAGTCAGCAAACTGATTTACTCAGCCAGTCTGCTTCAATTTGGGAGACACTTCCAACTGTATCAGAGCCAGTTCACATGCTGCTTGAAATAGGAGTTAACAATGCAAAAACTTACTGCTTTGGCACACAATGTTATGAATTGTTTGACTAAAGCACAAACAGATGTCCAATTCTCTGTATCCAAGTACCTCACAGCTGAGATCTAGGTTTAAGAAGAAAATTTCACTAGTTTTGTGGTTGAAGTGAAAGCTGACATTCAGGTAAACATCCAAATTTTTAAATAGTTTTTCTGTTGAACTCTAGGGAGGTTACATTTTACTGTTTGGCTTAATTATTAGCCAACCACTGCAGAGCAAAATGCCAAAATTCTACTAGATTAGGACAATTTCATATATAGACATACTTCACCCATATCTTCTTCCTCCTCCTCCTCTGATGTAACTTCTTCTGTTGTTCCATTCTGCAATACAACAATGAAGTTTCTGCATAAATTCTGCTCATGTTCCTTGCTTTCAAAAACACGAGTCTGCTTTCAAAGTGAAACAGTATATGTGAAAATTACACTTATCGAGGTCTGCAAAGGACTGAAGTTTAAAGTGTAAGATGCACAAAGATGCTTTCCTGCAGTATGGCAGTGAAGAGACTTTTGCATGAAGCAAAGAAATAGAATGTCACAATTAATTCCAATTAAGTTCTAAACAGAAACTTTAAATTCAGATAAGGGATACCCTATTCTGAGACAGTGACATGAGCAGCAAACACAGCAAGTGGGTTACAATTCATGATCTCTTAACCATGAAATCAGATCATGGCTCTGACTAAAATCCATCTCCATGCTATACTCTTAAAAAGAAAAAACCCAACAAACTTTATACTTTAAACTTAAAGGCTTCTTTTTCTCACTATCTACAACTTCTGTGTAGCCACTACTATCATCATGTAGCCATTGTCTGCAGATTATTTGAAAACATTCCAAACCAACATACTGAGTTAATTTTTCATGGCTTTCTATTTCAGGATATCACTTCAGGCTCAGGAAGTCTGAGCTGCAGAAATCCTCAGGAGCATTCTGATGCTCTTGTCCTGTGCTTACTTATCCTTTGGAAAAGAAGGAATCATAGAATCATAGAACCACTTGGGTTGGAAGGGACCTCAGAGATCATCAAGTCCAATCCTTGATCCAACCCTGCTGTGGTTCCCAGTCCATGGCACTGATGCCACATCCAGTCTCTTTTTAAAAATCTCCAGGGATGGAGAATCCACCCCCTCCCTGGGCAGCCCATTCCAATGGCTGAGCACTCTCTCTGGAAAGAAATTCTAATATCCAACCTTAACCTCCCCTGGCACAACTTGAGACCGAGCCCTCTTGTCTTGTTGACAGTTGCCTGGGAGAAGAGACCAACCCCCACCCGGCTCCCCCCTCCTGTCAGGGAGTTGCAGAGAGTGAGGAGGTCTCCCCTGACCCTCCTCTTCTCCAGGCTGAACAGCCCCAGCTCCCTCAGCCTCTCCTCATGGGAATTGTGCTCCAGTCCCTTCCCCAGCCTCGTTGCTCTCCTCTGGACCTGCTCCAGCCCCTCCATGTCCTTCCTGAACTGAGGGGCCCAGAACTGGACACAGCACTCCAGGGGTGGCCTCACCAGGGGAAGAATCACTGCCCTAGACAATGCAAAGGACTAGATGGATCTTTAGTCAGACTTAATAAGGCCACTCTTATTTAACTTGCAAACTGTGTGACATGAGTTTTTGAGCTTCAGAGCACATGCAAGACTCTTCACAAAGCTACTTCCTAAGATCACAGGCCCACTGCCTTGCACTTGCACTGCTGTGTGGGTGTTCAAAGCAGAGACCTGTAGGATTACAATTTGGCACGTGACCAAAATTAAGCAAGTTATTTGTTATTCCTATAGTACTGTCACCACAGGAAAACCATCTGTTACACTACAGGAGCTTTTAGAAATCATGTCATCTTAACACATACAAACAAAAGAAGATACCATAGTCTTATTAAAAATACAAAAAAGAACAGTTACTGTCAGTTACCGGTTCTGTTTTCAGCACAATACAAAACATTTTGGTTAACAAGAACATCTCACAGCCCTTCACAACTCAATATGTCAAGTGCACAAGAAGTAAACAAGGCACCTCAGATACTCCCTACCCAAAGTAGCATATGGTCTTGAATCCCATGTCTCTGCAAGGGATCGAAGAGGAAGGAAAACATCAACAGCACTTCATCCAAGTGCACACTGTAAAACATATACACTTCAACAAAGAGCAAACATTTCAGAAAAAGTAAATTTGGGAAGCACTAGAAGTGCACAACCATTGGTTTGAACAGTGTTTAGGAGGGAATATAAACTTGACAGCAGTGGTATCACTTACACACCTTTCAATGATACAGAAACTCCAAAGGAAATTGTGTAATATTATCACACCATTATTAAATGGATTTTGCAAACAAAATTCAGATTGAGGACATCATAAAGCAACAGTGCTTCATATCTCAGTTCTGGCTTACACAAGGTTTAATCATTCCCACCATCTTCTTTCTTGGAGCTGGAAAAACAACTCCTTCATTGCCATAAGGAGGTGTCCACAGCTTTTTTAGTTTACCTGTCCAGCTGGCAGTGGCTGATCTAACATTTCAACATCTGGATGCTGAGGAAGATTATATAATCTGCAGAGGTCACATATTAATCGCTTCAGCTGTTGAAGAAGCTATAAAAAACAAAAACATGGAAGTGGTTATAACCAAAGCACAGAGCAGGATTTTGAGTTTTCTTCGCACATTGGTACTGAACCTAAAGTCACTGTACAGCATTTAAATCTTCTAAGGCTGGAATTAAATGTAAAGACCCCTCTTTTCCTCTGTAATCATTGTAACCAAGTCCACACCATGGAAACATGGCAAAGCAGAGATGGCTCCCATTCACCTCCCCTTGTCAAGTGAAGAAAGCCATGAGCAGAAGAATAATGTGCCCTGACAGCATCATCCAATCCAAACACAGGTGTCTGAGCCACAAATCACTATGGAATAAGCAACTGGTAATGTTCCATAAGACAAGATGGTCCATTCCCATTTCCCAGCTTAAAAAAAAAAAAAGTCTTCAAAAAAACCAAGGAGGAACAGTCTGAGTCTGATTTTCCATATCCTGAATTCTTTTACAGGGCACACCAGTGAGGCACTGGAGCAAGACAAACACAGTACAAGGCACAGAAGCAGGCAAGCTCTGAGCAGCCTGCCTGCCACATCTTGGGTCAGGGGGAGGCACAATCTGTTACTATCTCTGATTTCCACCTTGCAGCATTACACTGACATTCTGTTAACAGCAAAACACAGAACACCTTACACTCACTGTTATGCAAGCCAGAAAAATAATTTAGTTCTGCAGAAACAGGCAAACATTAAGTTTGCTCACCACATTAATTAAGCTGATTTCCATAGCTGTTAAATTTCTCTAGGCAGCCTCAGATTCATAGTTAAGGCCAAGACATGAAACGCTGTACTGCTGCATTTCCTAACTTTTCAAGGTCTTTGCACAGCTATGTCAAGAAAACAAAGAAATGACTGCAGAATGCATCTGTAAAAGGGTCAACACCTCATTTTTTGCATCTATTTATGGACTTTTCTTCCAGACACCAAAGGGAGTTTGTCTTGCCACTTGTCAAGGGCAGTGTGTAAGACAACCAAGTCTGCACACACATCCCTCAGTACTCCTGGCAGTAACACCTGAGTGGCAACCCCCTCCCCCTGAAGCACTTCTCCATAAAGGAGGGAGGCTCAGGAAATGCAGCCTCACCCAAGGTACAGCACAGACTTCTGAAAGAATTATAACTCTACAACAATATTTGGTGTTTGTATACTGTATTTCTCAAAATATACAATAAATTAAGGTAAAAAATAAACTATTCACTCCAAAATATTCTGCATGTCTAAAGCTATTGGATGGTTTAGATGCTCTTACCTTACTCTACTCCAAGTGAAAATTCAGTCTCTCCAGAGTTAAAAACTTAATTTCCAAGCCCAAATCACCAGCAGTGATAAGCAAATGTTGCCTTTATGCTATCTGAAAGCTTCAGTGCTTTTCCCTTCTGCAGCAGAATTCCACATTCTGTGTAATAGGAATGTTATTTATCCATCTGAGGCCATGAACTCAGACACCAGCCTGCACTACAACAACTATGGCACTCCCTCCTCTCACACCACATTTGCTATTTCTGCATCATACATGACAGTCTTCCTTCACTCAAAAATAAAGCAGGTAACACCAAAAGGACTGGGGTATCAGCACCACACTTCTTATGAGTAAACACATGAGATGTGATTGTTACAGAAAGCTTTTGGCAACATAAACTATCACGTTTCTCATCAACCTTAAGACTCAACACTTGTTTGAAACTTCACGGGTGTCTGAGACGTCAAGGAAATCTTTTAGCAGGCAGAAATCAGGTGAACCCATCAAAAAGCTAGTTGCCAGATAGAATCAGATGGAACTACTATTCTCAATGTGTGCAAAATGCTGCAAGTTGCACTGCTACACATTTTGTTGAGAAACTTTTTCTCTGCACAAACACTGCCTCATGGAGAGCTGGAGCATAAACCATACAGTTTGAGCAGCTGTAATTTTTCTCACAGAGCTGTGTAAAACCAGGCAAGCCATTAGTTTGTTTACATCTGCTGTGATGCACACAAAAAAAAAAATCTAAGTGGTGGGGGAAGAGCAGCACCATCAGCAGTGTGCTGGTCCATTAGAACTGACCTTGGACAAGCAGATGAAGACAACATTAGATGTGTCTTAAGTGGAAGAGAGAGTAAAGGCTGGAAAGAGTTTAAGAACTGCTTCCTACCCTGGTTCCTCCACTCCTCATCCTGCTCATGAGAAGTCCTGTCACCTGAAGCAAAGTTAAGAAGGAATTTTTGCAGCCAGGAAGCTTCTCACAATCCCTTCCAAGGCAGCACCACAAGCAAGGGACATCAGCACCCTCCAAGCAACAACCCCCTGGCCCAACCTGGGCCACATTACAGAGCCTGTGCCTGGAGGAGCAGCAGGTTTTCACCTCCTCCCTTCCACTGGCCCCAGAGATCACACAGCCCTGAGGCAGCTGAGAGGTTTGTGGGGGACCAATTCCTGATGAGCTTCAGTGCCTGAGCACCAGTGACACCATAAAGGGGAGGCAGAGACACACAGCTGAGAGCAGGGATCCCCTACCTGGGCAGCACCCCACACTGCAGGGTTACCTGAATGCAACTGTCACACTGCAGTTCATTTGTAGAGACCAGCTGCTTTATTTGACATCAGTGTCTACAGTTTCCAAAGGTGGTGGCAGAGAGAGAAGCTGATCCTCTCTCTACAACCCTTCCACTTATTGCTACATTTTTCCTCCACGGGAATTAATTTCATATCCTTGATCTTTCTGCCATGGATCACCATCACTTATCCCTTATACTCTGCTCCTGTGTATGAAAAATCATAGGATAATTTGGGCTGAAAGGCACATCTGGAAGACATCTGACCCAGCCCCATGCCCTGAGCAGGGCCTGGCATGATTTGGTATGTGCATGAACAGACTGTATCAAAAGGAAAAGATTTCTGTCACATATCAATAATTTAAATGTATTTCCAGGGTAACTTCACAGGCTTGACTAATGTAAAGTGAATGCTTAACACACACACTGAGGTTACTGAAGAAAAGGGGCTATCAGGACACCAAGAGTTTCCCTGGAATACAAACTGCCTAAAGCACAAACTAAACACAGAATGCACATCCAGAATGCACAACCCCCAGGGGATTAAAGGAGCCATGTAAGGAGCCTGCAGAGGGGAAATGCTCAAGTGACCAAATGTGGTGACACATTTATAAACTTATTACACTGATTATAATTAATGTAAAAGTAACAAAAATATAAGAATTATAATACACATCCCTGTAATTTTTAATGCTTCAGGAGCTCTGAGAAGTTGGTAGTTTTTGTGGATACCATAATGCTGGTTTAGAACACAAAAACACCTCTTGGAATTCTCTGCTTCCTATGTTAACAACCTACACATCTGAGAACAATTTAGAACAATCTTTTTCTGAAACTGAGGCTACATTAGGAGGCTTTTTTTATGCATGAAGAGATCTTTCTAATGCAGTACAAAAGCATTAATAATTTTAGGATACCTTTGACGATATTAATACCCTGCTGGGTTCACTGTCAAACACCTTGGTTTTGGATTATCAAGAAACAGAAGTACAGTGGAAGTTACAAAGACTTCATTCTTCCATGTGTGTCTATCTACACATAAACACACAGTGGATCTGTGTAAAAAGAAAGGAACCAATCAGTCTTAGCCTACCACAGAAACTGCTGAAGGAGGATCCCAGTGGAAACAGGGAAGCAATAACTGTCACTTGGAGTGTGACCCCCACTCAGCAATCAGGCAAGCTGTGACAGCACCTGCCCTCACACACACTCTGCAGCCTTGGCCACTTCCAGGAAGTAAAGCAAAGCTCATTCCTGCATTTTGTCTCTCTGACTCCAACACATGATCTGCTGCTGCTGCACTGGGAGTTTGCCAGAGACAGCATTCTTCCCTGAAATGTCTCCACGTGGGACTCACTCTACATTATTAACACCACAGCAGCATCCTTCAGGACAGCAGCTTATCCAAGCTGTAAACAAACTTATACCAGGAATTCTCTACTTTTGACATCTTCCATGCAAGTTTAAGGTCTAGAGAGAATTTAAGCTATCTGAATTTAAGTTCATTTCCCTATTCTCTTTAAAAAGCAAACCTCCAAACAGCACATAGTTATACATAGTATGTCATGAAGGTTTGAGGCTTCAGACTTGCATCATATAGCTTCCACCAAATTAAACTTAGCAAGACAGTAGGATTTCTCTTTTGCATAGCACAACCACTAGAAGGCAGATGGCAGTTTCATACCCATCAAGTCTAATGTGATGCTGGATTTTCAGGATCTGAAAAGCAGTTCAGGAGACACTGAAGGTTGAAAGAACTGTGTAGCCCCTTCATCTGCTGAGTGGAACTAGTTCAACATTGACAGTCAAGCAGCTGAAGTGTCCAAACCCAATGATATCTATGCTGATCCCATTCTTAACAACCTTTCAATAAATTTTCCTAACAAATGCACCATGTTCATACAAGGTAACGATGCAGTTTTGGACCCACAGAAGATTTTCCAGGAAACACGTCCAGGATTTCAACATCAGAAACCAGTTTTCTTTTTACCATGTCAAATGACAAGGCTGGCTTTCCCCTGTCAAACATTTATGCCTGAAGAGCATAAATTCAGTTTCCCAAAGAGCTGATACCTGTCACAAGTAGGTAGAAAGGGCAGAGTAATACTACAAAAAGCTAAAGCAGGGTATGTGCCAGCAGTGCTTTTAGCACACGGTTGCTGTGTCAAGTTAAACTCCTGCAAGAGTCCAGTGCAATTTCCCATTCAAAATTTGATTGCTCCAATAACTCTGAGTTTAGAATAACATGGCACTAATGATCCTTTACTTGCAATAAGTTAAATGAAAACTGGTTGGAAACATTCTAGAAATCTAAATTAAACTAAGTGAATTTTTAGGAGACTGTGATAAATTAGAAGCCTTTGGATTTCTACAGGTAGTTCCCAATCACTTCATACCCTACTCCAAAAACTGTGTGAGCTGCTCCAATGCCACTGATGGGGAGGAAGTTGCATGGAGAAAAAACAAACTCAAACCCCACAAAGCCAAACCTTTGGAGTCAAAAAAAAAAAAAAAAAAGAAGCCAGATTTTGTGGTGTTTTTATCTCTTCAACCACTCCCATCTGTCTTCATCTTGGCATAACAAGATGCAGGGTGGATTCCTGAGAAACCAATGGGCCATCCACAGGTGCCTATTACATCAACCCAGCAGCTTTTACATGGGCAAGTACAATCTTGATATCAGAAGCTGTTTTCTTACCAGGTACATAAGCAGTGTCTGTGCATATGCAATTCAGCACAGCAAGTCCCATGCATGTTTACAACAAAGCTTTCCAGCCCAGTGCAGGCAGTTACACAGAGGAAACATCCTGCTCAGAACCCTCAGGCTGAAGCCATCAGCCACACCAGCTTCTAAATGCACAGTCCTCTGGGAAGTGTATTTAAGAAAAAGGATCATTTGGCCAGATTTTCTGCTACTATCCTGTTCTGTGTCTTTCTGGGCAAAAGTCACAAAGATTAAGAGATCTATCCCATTCTTCTGAATGTGGTTTAGTCTAAAGTTTAGGTTGAAGTAGAAAACACACAACTGAGGCCTCTGTCTCCTGCAATCACATCTGACATAATGCATTAAATCACCAGTATTCCTCTGCAACTGTTTTTAATTATGGCAAGGCCCTCCAAGACTCTCACTTACTCTTACTAGTGTCCTAATTTTTTCTGCTAGAAGTCAAATGCATCCTAAATATTCTTTAGAAAAAGGCACTTGTACATTCTTGTTTAAGGTTGGGTATGCTACATTACCATTATCCCAGTAAACATGACAAGTAGTAGACTTCGTAAGAACATTCCCAATTTTTCCAAACCAGGCAAGAACTAAGCACACAATCCATGCAATAAGCAGTATTTTGCAGACTGATTTGTTTTGTATGCATGAATAAAACCACAACATGTTAAAATAATCTATTAATAAAGATCACCTTTAAAGGCTATTTAATATCCATAAAGCTGAATTTGGATTGGAAAAACAACACTCAATCACTGAATTTTCTGTATGCTGCAATACTACTTCTTGTGGAACAAACTGCATTTGTACTGACATTTATCTCCAAGCACTATTCAAGGACACTTGAATGGGAAGTTAATTTTTATATATACACACACACAGACAAAGACCTCCTATCACTACATGAAAAGGCTACTCAAGTAAGATATAATGTTTGAGAGTTTTCTGCAATACAAAACAACCATTAGAATCTGTACAGAGATTTTCTTTAAGTAGCAACTGCCCAAAGTCACAACCCTGTTTAAATGTATCAGCACCTAAGGAACATTCAGATGAACCACAAGCTCTCAGGTCAAGTCTCCTTTATTGAAACCAGGAATTCTTTGTATTATACCCACATTTTGCAGAACATACATTCTCAAGAACACAAAGCTTTTGCCTCTGTAATTAATCTCTGTGCAAAGAAAATTCTACAAGAACTGGTTTTTACAGTAGTTTTAACCTTTTCATCCACTTCACTGTTTAATTATTTTCAGAGAGCTTCACACTAATTACTGGGGCTGTAACTTAAATGCTTACTCTGTAAGAGAAGTTAAGTAATTTTTTCCTACTTGCTTCAAATCTTTTGGATCACTTGTGGCTCCTTTTGGAAGAGAAAGTTGTTTTTACAAAACCTCCCAAATGACCCCAAAACTGAGCAAACTGAACTGCTTGTTAATATTACAAAGCCAAATAAACACCCAAACCCAAGTAAATGCCCAGAAGAACCAAAAACCACTTTGCTCACCAGAGTATTGCTCTTCTTAATATCTTCTAAACGCTCTAAGACTGAAGTCAGGTTTGGGTCATCTGATTCTACAAACCATATTGGTGATGAAGAGGGGTAAGACTCCTGTTAAAAAAAAAACAAACACAAACCCCAACATGTAAATAAACAAAAAAAGAACCAAAGCTTTTAAAAATCATTCACCCCCAAAATTTCACAACACGGTATTAACATCACCTTTTATCTTATTTTGTGCCAGGTAACATAGAAGCTTTTAACACCACTTTTTTTAGGCAATGCAAAAGAAGTTGAAAGAAATCCAGCCAACTGGTTCTTCTAGTATTTCATCTTATTTTAAAAGTTGCTCAGATGATGGATATACATTAGAAACATTGCTGAGAAGTTTAAAACCTTGGGGGTAGGTGGAAGAGGGGGGAGAAATTTAAAAATGCAGTACAGGTGATAATTACCAAGAAATGGAACCATACGTAGCCCATGTCAAAAAATAAAACTGTATTGATGCTGATTTTTCATAAAAACACAGCTTCTCCCAAATAAAAGCTGTGAAAGTGTCCCTTCATATCACTGACATGTCTGGATCTTATTTGTTTTGTGTGAGTTATTAAGTTATTCTCTATTTCTCACCCATTCAATTATATTTTTAGTAGCTAAAGACAAATTGCTGAACCTCAGTTTTATCACCCAGATATTATCTTCATATCCCCAGGTCTGAAAATTCCCTCATTATTTTGGAATTCATTTCCCCTCACTGCAGTTGAAAAGGAAAAATTCCATCTTTCTCATTCCAGAGACAACAAATCATGCTTCATTCTTCCACTCTTAGAGTCAAGGTTTGAAAACTGGAGAAAAATACAGCTATATTAGAGCTGGCTTTTAACAATATAAAGCCTATTTCCTTACTGACCTTCCAGGTGAGGTGCTGAACCCCACAGGAGAACCCATGTGACTAAAGGACATCAGTTTTGGCCAAACAGACTATCACAACAGTTCCCACCTGGCACCACACTCCAGCAAAGCTGCAGCTACACAGGTCTAAAATTCCCACCTGTAAACCGAAGGCTCTGCATAAAATTATTTTTTAACAGGTTCAATCCCCTTGAGTTTATTTTTTTTCCCTAAATCACAGCTAAAACCACCTTGAAAGAACACATGATATTCCCAGTATCTTTATGAAAAGACAAATTGTTCACATCTTTCATCTTCACTTCAAAGCACACTACACACAGAGACCTCAGAATATCTCCTCTTGATTAACTAAGGCCTAACATCTCACATGTCTAGCAAGAAAGCCCAGTGCTCAGCTCACCAAGATTTCTGGCTAGGGCAGGCTCACGGATGGGCACAGGGATGTGGTTTAATCACTTTTCTCCTTTACATAACACAGCACTTAGGGAAAAGTGTATTTTCTCCTCGGTTTCACTCAACACACTCTTGAAAGACTAACCACACTCTCCGTGGGAGAAACAAGATTGGACTCCCCGCTGCACAGGGTTTCCAAACCATTATTTTTAGGCACTGAACTTCATTAAAGATATTCCAGGCTTTGTACTGATAACATCTCACTCATTTTTAATAACATGCAACCTACTTGTAAAGTCTTCTGCAATGGTGCAATATCCTCACCTCAAGCCTTTCACTGCACGCTGATCCTGATGGACAGTGAGGAAAATCATAAAGGAAACTCTGCCAACTGTGGCCTCACTGCCTGAAGACCTGCTTGAACCAGGTATTTCTGAGACCTCAACTTCTCTCATTTAGCTCATTCGGTTGAGAGAAAGGCAGCAAACACAACTACCACAACTTTAGATTACGCCAACATTCCCGTCAGGAAATACAAAGAACAAGCAAAATGCTTCTCAAGATTCACCAAACCACCTGTTTCTTAAAGTCCTCAGACTCATTAGAATAAAAATATTCTCCAGATACAATCAATCAACATTTGGACTGCATATGCACATTCTCCTAACAGATATTTTTGGTCTTTTTTTTTTTTTAATCAAGCGTTTTTTAAATTATGTTACTCCAGGTCTAAGCAAGTCTCTTAATTGCAATGATTTATAGAAGACAAACATCTGCCAGCTCTTTTCTAAACCATATCTGGAATCTCAAGACTGCTTACAGAATGGAGCTCACCTCTTCACTGCCTATATTCTTCTTTTCTGACAACCTTAGTTCTCCTTTCTCCATCTGAAGGATTTCATGAACAAACCCACAGCTGGACACCTGATATTGCAACCAGCAGCATCCCAGTCTGGGGGCCTGGAGAAAAATCTCCCAGATCCTTGCAGCACCTCTGGGATCAGGCAGGCCCATGACTGACAGTGCAGACCTGATGATCAAGCACTCCCAGAGTGTTTTTATACACATTACAGGAGCAAATTGAATGTCCTGCTGCCTTCTGCACTGGGTGACAGCCCTGACTCATGTTCTGCTCTCATTCCATTTCCTGCACTGAAAACAAGCCCTCCTGTATGTGAGAAAACTTACAATTTGATACTGCCTGGATTATTAGTCATAATAATTCATATAGCACATATGAATGACTGTGCCCTACAAATTATTAGCTATTCAAATTTTTTGTCTGCTTTAGCTTTTCAAACAAGAATAGGAACAATGTGCTTCTCAGAAAGGCTTTTCTTTAACGTGGAGAGCATATTTACTCAGCTGTATCAGAAAAGATTTCAAACTTCAGATTTTTGGATTATGGATATTTAATTGCACATTCCAATTTTTTCACAACAGGTGCTTAATATTAAAATACAAGTTCAAACAAACTACCATTTTGTTGCAACACTCTCTAACTCTTCAGACTTACCAATAAATATATTAACTTAAAAACAGAAATGGCATTAAATTTCTCTAGATCTGTATGCAATCCATATTTTTGGAACAGCTGATTTCCACGTGGATATGAGTCACTGTATTTTGAAACATAGAATTCACACATAAAACTTCAAACATTCTGAACTTAAGATACAAACAGGCTCAGGAGTTTGTAATGACCACAGATGCAACTTAAAACTACGCTTGTGGTTTGTGAGGTCACAACTGCACTTCAGATCAGCTAATTCTGCTGAGAGAACTAAGGCAGCTTTTTCTTTTGTATCTGCATCCTATAGAGATAAGGGTTGGATTTGAGCTGTTATGTCATGTAAGAAGCAGGCTTCCCAGATACAAAGACAATGCTTCATGAGAGGAAGCCTAAAATAGCAGTTATTTTAATTCTCAGCGCCCAAAAGCCCCGTTATTTTGGGCCTTTTACTATCCAGCTGACAGACAGGGATTTTGTAATATATAATCTATCACCCATATTAAGTGTTCCAGATCTTTTATGTAACTGCTGTAACACGACATTTTCTTGCTCTCTAAGAGTAAAAGCACAATCTCATCCCAAGAGGCAAAGGCTGTGGTGCTCAGCCAGTGCCCAGGGACAGCTGGGAACAGCAAGGCCAGGGCTGTGCCACACTGACATCACACCTCGCAGGAGCGGGGCCGGGACAAAGGCTGCATGTTTACAGCAGCCCAGATACAATCACAATTCATGGCATCATCACTTCTGGAGAGCCTCTGTATCAGCACCGGGATAGACTGGGAGCTTTGTCAACACAAACGCTTCTGTCACAGAACGCGGCGAAAGAATTCAGCCCGCTAATAAACACCGCAAAACACAAAGGGAGTAAAGCCCTGTGCTCCTGCCACGGGAACAATTTCAAACCCAATCAAATCATTCAGGAAAACCACAGCGCATTAGAAGGATACACACGGGATCTCACTGTTCAGACATTCCATTACATCCCCTACTTAAATTTTTGCTAACAATTTTGCTTACCAAAAAAACAAAAAACAAAAAAAAATAAAAAAAAAAAAATAAAGGGAGGGCAGCAAAAAGTGACAGAAGATTCCAGGAACACACACATTAAGACAGCTTTTCCTGGGCAGGATCTGTCATCTAAGTATATCCTATCTAAGCTTTCTCATCCCTAACAATAAGGCTGTTGCCCTTGCAGTGTTATATAATCGTTATCCAGCTCTCTAAAGCCACAGCGACACAATTTTGATGCTGGTAAGAGACTTTTAAACGAGCTGTTTCTAAATGACTACAATACCACTGAAATAGCGAGGCTGGTAAATTAAAACAAAACCTCTTGCTCTCGCTCTCCTGATTGGAACAGCCTGTCCACACCGTTTGCCACCAGGCAGTGGGGCAACCACAGCTGCCCCAACACAACTGAGCTGTTTCAAGTGGCAGGAACACACATTTCAGCACAGGGCTGCTGCATTATCATTTCAACTCACAATTACATGCTGACAGTCCCTCATTTGCTTTAATTCCCAGATCACAGTAGATGGAAAAAGTGTGTGTGTGGGGGGGTTTCTTTTTAAAATCCTTAGTGTACTGCCTGAACAAAATTCAAAATTTCTGGTTTTAAGTTCTTGCAAAATGCCCATCGTAGACAGAACCCAGTTCTGTTCTTTTTACACCATCTACAATTAAACTGAGCTGATTTTTGTAACAGCACTTCTAATTTTTTTTTTCTTCCCAGTCCCAAAATTTTTCTTCACCCCCCCTTTACTTCCCAAAAGCAGAACATCAAACTCCCAGATCTTTTAACCAGCTTAGATACTTTGAGAAGGCTGGAACAAGACCATTCCAGCTCACCCCAATCTTGGTAATGAAGTGAGTAAATCCTAATGGAACAAGACATCCCAGAGGGCCAACACAGTCCTCTCAAGGTGAATACATTTGCAGCTATAAACACACATCAAGTAATCGATCTGAAATCATAGATGGTTTTCCCTCAGCAGGCACCTTGATGCTACCAAGGCTGTCCACTTGAATTAAACAGCAGAACTAGATCATATCTACATCCAAATGAACATCCAATAAATACTGAAGATTAAACTACACAATTTAGTACACATTATTTGCAACTGTTAGTCAATCATTCACTACTTATTTTTCACCTGTCTCAAGCTGCCTTTAGAGGAAAAAAAAAAGCACAGTTAATATTAACAAAAATATCAGGATCTGAGAAGATATTCTTAAAGCTAAAGTTTAGCCTAGTGATCATAAAACACTAGTACTTACAGCTGCTTAAAATAGT